ATTGTATTCCATATGAACATTCTCAAAATGGACTTGTAGAGTCATTTATAAAATATATACAATTCATTACTCAGCCACTCCTCTTTCACACAAATTTACTTGCATCTATGTGGGGTCATGCAGTTTTACATGCTACAACATTAATACGCCTCTGCCCTTCTTCTCTTGAAATTGTTTCACCACATGAGCTCATTTCGGGTCATATTTCAAATGTATCTCACTTACGAGTATTTGATTGCCGTGCTTGGATTTCAGTACGAGAACCTCAACGGCGTACCATTATAGCTCATCGACAAGAAGGTATATATGTTGGTTTTGATTCACCAAGCATTATTTGTATTATTGATCCATCAATTGACACATTATTACGTGCACGTTTGTAAAATTGTCGTTTTTAAGAAAATATATTTCCGTCTCTTCAAGGAGGAGTATCCAATCAACAAAGAAATAAAGTACTCATATTTGAAGTACTAGAAACGTTTACAATGAATCCCGATCCTAGGACATCTTTGGCAGAAATTGAAGTTGCTAAGATTTTACATCTAAAACAGATTGCGGATGAAACATCTGATGGCTTCAACGATGCACCTAGAATTACAAGAGTTCATATTAATGAGGCTCAGAATGCACCTGCTTAGATTGCAGTGCTATTGACTACAATACCTCAAGTTATAACAACAACAATTAAAAGAACTTGTGGACTAGATAAGCAACCACGTAAGAAGAAAGCTATGAAATTGACTAATCCTAGTATTATTTCTCAAGAAATTAGCACTCATCTTGCAGGACTATCAATTCATGATGATATATCCATGCATAATGTACCTTTAATTCTTATGAAAAAAAATCTTGGAATTGGAAGAAATAAGAACAAGTTGAGTAAAGAATTATCTATTCTGTATTGTGCTATAGATGATATTTGGGACAGACCATCTGTTACGGTAGATGAATCATTTACATATATGATTATAGAAGCTCTTTCTTGTGAGGAAGATGATCCTGAACCTCAAATCATCAAGGAGGCGATACGTTGCTCAAATTGATCAAAATAAAAAACTGCTATTGAGGAGGAGTATGCCTCTTTGCGTAAGAAGAAAGTCTTTGGTCCAATTGTAGACACTCTTACATCTTGCCCTGTGGGATATAAAATAGTATTAATACGCAAGCGAGATGCTCAAGGCCAAATAATCCACTATAAAGCTCGTCTTGTTGCTCAAGGATTTACTCAATAATTTGGCATTGATTATGAATCCACACATTCTCCAATCATGGATTCAATTACATTTCAATATATTATTGGAATGACAGTTCATGCCACCCTCGAGATACATCTGATGGATGTAGTAACTGCATATCTATATGATTCTCTTGATGGAAATATTTATATGAAAGTTCCACCTGGCTTAAAAACAGGAACTTCAAATCGACCTACTTTAGGACAATATCGTGGTATTAAATTATGTAAGGCCTTGTATGGTTTAAAACAATCCGGACACATATGGTATCAATGTCTTGAAGATTATTTAATTACAAATAATTTTATAAGTCATCCATTAATCCCTTATTTGTTTATCAAACGAGATAAAATTGGTTTTGTGATCATTGCTGTATATGTTGATGATCTTAATCTAGTGGATACTACATCTGCATGTGTTACAGCTACTAACCTACTTATACGTGAATTTGAGATGAAAATGTTAGGAAAAATAACTTTCTGCATTGGTCTTCAGATTATGCATCTTATAGATGGTAGCATTTTTTTCTACCAACTAACATATATTAGATGAATCTTGCAAAGATTTAATAAGATTGATGCTTATCCATTGTCTACACTAATGGTGGGACGTGGTCGTGATGGTCATGATTCATACCGTCCATGTGAGGAGGAAGAGAAAATATTGAGAGATCAATATCCATACCTCGTAGCGATTGGAGCATTTTTGTATTTAACTACACCTACAAGATCAGATATTGCATTTGCAGTTAGTGTTCTTACAAGACATAGTGTACGTCCAACACTACGACATTGGAATGACATCAAGCATTTATTATGTTATTTAAAAGGTACTGAAGACTTGGGATTATACTACACACAATCCGCAGATCCAAAATTGATTAGATATTGTAATGCAGAATATAAATCTGATATCGCAAGAACTAAATTTCAAATAGGATATGTATTTTTAAGACATGGAGCTACAATATCATGGAAATCAGTGAAACAAACAATAATTGCAATTTCATCCAACCATGCAGAAATTATTGCCTTACATGAAGTATCTCGAGAATATATTTGGTTGCGATCAATTAATAAATTCATTCAAATAACCTGTGGATTTTCATGTGATGATTCTCCAACTATCTTGCATGAAGATAATAGTGCTTATATTGCACAAATGCAAGTTGGTTTCATTAAAGGGGACATGACAAAGCATATCGATCCAAAGTATTTTAGTTATACCCATGACTTGATTACTGATCAAGTACTTATAATTAAGAAAATTGAATCTACAAATAACCTTACTGATGTCTTCACCAAAGCTCTCCCATTAAGCAACCATCATCGACTTACTTATGGCATTGATATGCGGCGACTTGCTTTTCTTGAATAAGAAAGTTAATGAGCTCTTTAAATAATTAAAGAAAATGATGTTGTATTCTTTTTCCTTCATCTATGGTTTTGTCCTTAAATAAAATAAGATTTTTCTAGATAAGATTTTAATGAGGCAACAATTGTTGATCTTGCAAGTTCATAAAAAAGTATAGATCATAATTCTATACAAATTTTATATTATATAAATATTATAATGAGCGAGGAAGAGTGTTGAGATTATTAAATGTAGCCGGCACTCTCCATAATATTTACTGTAGACTATAGTAAATACCATAGCTATAGTATTTAGAGTCTAGTTGAGAAGTACTGTTTATCCTCTCTCCTTTTCTCTTCTTGTATATGAGAAACCCTCTTGTGTGTATGACTTACTACTACTCTTTTCTCTTCTTGTATACGAGAAACCCTCTTGTATATATGACTTACTACTACTCTTGTGTGTGTGTGCATGACTTACTATTACTCTTGTGTCTTTCTAAACATTCTCATGGGATTGAATTTTATACTTTCACCTAATTTTTAGAATTTGTTTTCTAGTTGTTGCCAGACTCGCGAGCAGAGCTGTTCATGGTTTGGATAAACTTGACTAAGAGTACTATATGTGGAGCACTGAAGGGATACACACTCGTGGAGCACCTTTCTTTGTCCTCAAAAATAGAAACATGTGCCGTCATTGGGGGATGGAATTCGGGTCGTTCAATGTGTGTCATAGCATGAGTGGTAAGAACATGTACACAGAATCTAACTTCGACTAAAGTTGGGAGCAATCTTGCTCTGCTTCCAAGGTAAATTCCCCGATTGCCACTTTGTAACCACGGCACTGCCGCCGGTTTGGAACACTTCGCAAGCTCTCACGGCAGATTGCAGAAAGTTTCGATCTCGAGATGCCAGCCACCTAGTACCGTTCTCGAATTCGGAGCAGTAAAAATCTGGATCCTGCTCTGGCTCGACCATGTGCACCTGGGATTTAGTATATAATATATCGCCCTGAATTGATTTCAATCACTCCCAATTTTCTACCTCTTGAAGCGTCTTGATCTAGTTTCCTCTGCCGCATTCGAGCCTTTCGCCTGTGTCGATCCCATCTTCTTGACTCGGAAGATAACTAGAAGGTGGCTGATTTTCTCAGCCGGAGCTCACTGCTCTCTCAGAATCTTTCACTCATTGTCATGGACCTCAAATTGGCAGCTCTACTTTCAGCCACGCTCAGAGCGCTTATGATTTCTGGGCCTCTTTTGGTTAACGCCCAGGCATCGGTGGAGATAGTGAACCTCATCGGGGATCAAAAAGGATTCAGCCACTTCTGGTCAATAGACAAGAGGGAGTTTCTGAGGATGATGAGCAATGGGCTTTGCTGCTCTGCCCTACCTCACGCTTGGTGCTCGCCGGAATTTCAGGAATGGCAGCGGCGCGGATGGGGGCGTCCAAGGCGTGCGGGGCCCAGGCACTGCAGAAAAGCACAAGCTTTGGGCCCCATTTAAAACCAAAAAAAACACAGGATAAGATAGGTTATCAGCCCAAAGGATAATTTTGCAATTATCACAAAAACCAGGAGTACATGTGCTATTATCAAAACTTGAGGGGTATTATTGATATTTCGAGAAAGTTCAGGGGCATGTGTGATGTTTGTCCTTATAGATAATGTATGTATATACCCATACACAGAGGGACATACATATAAATATAATTATATAATTATACAAATAATGAAATACACGTTCGAAGAAACCAAGATGTTTAAATTAAAAAAAATAAACATATATTTTTTTGAAATAATAGCTATTCTCAATATATATATATATATATATATTATGAGAATATGTTTTACAGTTTATTTTGAAAGAAGATGACAAAAACGAAGGATAAAAGTGCACCCTCCGCTACCACAGAACCTACCACAAAAATAATAAAAATTTAAAGAAAAGGAAACCTCACACCACAGTACATAAAGATTCCACGAGAATATCCAAATTAGACCCACGGTCAAGGGACAAGCGCTCACAGGGCACACAAGGACGTGCCGTCGGCGCTTCAGAAGGGTGGCTTAAGACCGAAGGCGCGGAAATAGGACCGGGGTCACCTTATCGTCTTGGTACAAGGAGCGCTCACACACACGCTGAGAATATTCACAGCTGACGAACGAACGAACGGACGGACGAACGAGCGAATGAACGAACGGCCGAACGGAAGGACGAACGAACGATCGAACGAACGATCGAACGAGATCTACTCACCAACGGAGACAGACCCCCACTCCATCCTCGTATGCGGTCTCAATTGAATGCATGCACGCATCGGAATCGACGTGAATGAATGAAATTCTCGATATGGATGAATGAATATGGATCGCATTGCCTACGAATGCAAAAAAAATCTAAGGACATGGCTGTAGTCGCTGCAACTTGGATTTCGGTGTTTTCTGCCATCGCCTGCGTGTGTTGGCCAAGAATCGTAATCCTGTCCGACGAGGACTTCGCTGCTGGAACATCACCTCCCTCCCTCCTTCTCCTTCGCCATTGCATTCTCGATTTTCCTCTTAGCATTTTTTGAGGTGCGAGCGGGGAAGGAATTGGAGCGCGAGGATAAGAAGCAGAAGAAGAAGGCGAAGCGCCGGAGGTTTGGATTCTGAGGATTGCGGAACCGAGAGTTGGCGTTGTGGTTGAGTGAAGTGCAGGAGGAGTTGACGGAGGAGCGAGAGACAGATATATATATATATATATATATATATAGAGAGAGAGAGAGAGAGAGAGAGAGGGTTGCCTGTTGGAGGGGGGGGGATAACGCGAGGCTCGATGGCGATCACTTGTGCCAGCATCGGAGCTGGAATCACCCGCTTGGTGTCTCCTGTGAGCACCAATTCTTGGACGGGACGTCCTTGCGCGACCTGCATGCTTGCAAGCTGCTCGCGGGTGACCGTATCTAAGGGAGCATTGTCGCTTTTGCCGTCTTTGGTCGGAGAAGAGCGGAATGAGCAGGAGGACCGACGCCGCTTCAGTGGCCGCAGGTTAGAGACCGTCGACGGCTGCAATGTCGTGACCTCTTCGTGGACGTGCTTTTTGATGATTGCTTTTTGCTTTCAATTTGACTATTTTCGTTGCATCATATGTCCCATGCTTGGCAATGCGTCTGTTTCGTAGCGCTGGCTATGGTTCTAATGGACTTTTCTATTTATTCATTAGTGCTTCTCTGGTGTTATTAAGAACCAGCACCAATGTGTAACTATTTTCGTGATCTCTTATGCGTGCGGAAACGACCCGTAGAAAGCAGCTGTATACGCTAGTTCACTAAACACGGTCTCTTGTTACTAAGTGGAATGATTGATGTTCTGGAAAAGGAGTTTACTTACATGAGTAGTGACTACAGAATGGTATGCCGTGCTACTGGGGATTCCGCAGGCGTCGTCGCTTCTGTTGAATCAGAGGTAAGGCCAATTGAAGACTCATGGAATAATGTATGTTTCATCTGTTGTGTGTTTAATTTTTCCACGGCTCTGCAACGGGCTCTATGCTAGCTCCGATTAAGAAATATCCTCTGGTCTTGATGCATTCGTTTAACATGATTCGAATTTTTGAGGAGGGACTGCCGTATCACTTCATGAATGGCATGTAGGTTGTTTAGTGGTGATTATCTATCTGATTGTTGAAGTGCGTGTGTCATCTATCAGGCTACTGAAGAGGAGCCAAAGCCGATTGTGCTAATTGATCAGGAGTCGGATGCGGAAGCCACAATTGTGGAGATCAGCTTTGGAGACAGGCTGGGTGCTCTGCTTGATACGGTTGGTTACTATTTTCATCTTCTGCATTACCTTTCTTTTGGATTTTGGTAAACTAGAAGCGTAAGTTCTCTCCGTATCTTGAATTATTCAAATAAAATTGTGAATCGGTGCACTTAAGTGGGTCTTGTTGTAAAGACTAAAGACTAAAAATAGAATAGAATAAAAAAATACATAACGGACAGTCTGCGCTTCCTTACTAATGTCTTGGTTTTATGCAGATAAAAGCGCTTAAGGACCTGGGACTGAACGTCATCAGGGGAGTAGTTACAACAGAGGGTCCCAATTTGCGGCGCAAAAAGTTCTTGGTGACACGCTTGTATGTTGAACAATTCGTGTTCTTTTCTTCCTTTTCATGATATTTCGAGATGTCACATGCGTTTTTAGTAAGTCTGCTTCTGATGAATCGATGATTTGGGGCCATGTCTTGGTGAAACCAAAATGTCTGGCTTGGATAGTTCTCAGTTTTGCGAAATTTTCTTGTGCGTCTGTTTTGATAGCCTAACTGTGCAACATTTGACCCTGACAGGGATAACAACAAAAAAGTGGAGGATCCTGAGCTGCTGGAAGCCATTCGCCTTACCATCATAAACAACCTGCTTCAGTACCATCCTGTACGAACCTGTCGAAACCCTACCCTGATGTTTTCCGAGTCCTCTCTCTCTCTTTTGTGATTGCACATTTCAGCTGAGGTACGGAGATATGAGACGCATTAGTGAAGTCATTGTCATTTCTTTTTATGGTCCGTTCCGGGTCCTCAAGGATTTCCCTTAAAGAATAGGGATTCCAATTTTAACTTATTTTAGTAGGTGTTCGTAGGTAGTTAAGCGCTTGATGTTGTGTTATTGAGGCGTTATAGATAGAGTAATGCTGAATGATTTATTGTGCTATGTTCGAAGAGGTACGCCAATGTTGGAGATGGTGCTGGTTTGATCATCAGAACTGACCATCTTTTGGCCTGTATGTGAGATATACAGGAATCTGGTGAGCAGTTGGCCATGGGAGTTGCATTTGGCGAAAACCCACCAAAGAAGGAGGTAATGATTTCGATTGACTGTCGACTCTTTAACCTGACGCCTTTTCCTGATATGAATCGTAGTGTATCTTTCCAAGGCTAGGAGTTGCACTTGAGTCCGTTATCCTCTGAGGAAGTGTTTGAGTTGATGTATAGTTCTTCTAATTGAAAAGATGTACTTTGTCATTTTCATCCTGCGATACTAAATCGATCGCAAATAGATTGCCTTCATTATTACTAGTTCATTCGGAATGCTGATACAGAACCAGCAACTTAGTGATAGTATTGTAGGATGATTTAGTACAATGGGTCGTTGTTTTCCGTTTTGAGACTGAAATAGAGATTTGTTCGTTCAGATTGATGTGGATGTGGCCACTCATGTTACTGTTACAAGGGAAGGTTCTCGAAGGTATTGACAGAGCTCTTATGGATTTTTAACTTAAAGTTATCTGAATTTCTTTTGCTTGTCCTCTAAAAGTCTCTTGTGTAAAGTTTGTGATGTATATCTGTGCAATACCTGAGCTTCACTAGCATATCACTTCATATCTGTGAACTTTGAAAGTAATGATTTGCAACGTTGGAACATGCAGTTTGTTATCAGTTGAGACGGCAGACAGGCCAGGATTGCTGCTGGAGATTCTGAAGGTTATCTGTGACATCAGCATTTACGTGGAGTCGGCTGAAATCGATACGGAGGCAGATTTTCTTCACTTTGTCCCACGTCGTATTTAAAATGTTTGAACTGTGCCACGTTAACTATTTTTCGATGTCAGTACTTCCGGTTGCTATCTATCTAGAAGTATCTGACGTGGAGGGTGGAATCGAATGGCAGGGGTTGGTTGCTAAGGATAAATTTTACGTCACTTATCATGGGGAAGTCTTAAGCAAATCTATGGAAGAGGTAAGCTGTTCATCCATTGTGGTTATGAGATCGATGCTGGTTCATGGTCCTTTATTTGTTTCTTGGTCCAACGATCACTTACAAGCATGTCTACTCTCTCGGATCGTAATCTGAGCATGACTTAACTGTGGTGCCCGGCTACAAATGTACTGAGTCGATTGCTTTTCATCTCAGGTTCTGACGAATGCTCTTCGCTATTACCTGCGGAGACCCGAGACTGAGGAGGACAGCTATTGAGCTCATCTCTACTTGCGGATTGTAATTTAGTTCAACAATATGGTAGACTACAACTGTGTCGTAGATGGGTCATCACTTGGCTTTGGCATTGAGACGGTCTGGGAAAAGACTCATAAGAATGATCTCTAGTGAGGATTAAAAATCGAACACTCGAGCAGCTTTTGCTTGGTGTATTCTGTACATTTGAATATGGGAAGAATTCTATGTTCGTTGCCTTGTGATACTTCTGTGTGAATTGAGGTTGTCGTTTTATGAGTGTTTCAATGCATACTGTTGTTGTAAAATCTGCGTTGATCTCATTCGTAAATGGTAAATGCATTAGAATCATGTTGTGTTCACCTATCTTTGCGAAATTTCTGATATTAGTACATTTCAGTGAAACACACAGTACTAGTGAGATACGTGCTGCTCTAATGTTGGTTTAACTCGTACGTTTAAGTATCCTGTCGACTACATATCCTCTCAGCGCTACATGCATTCTAAAACCAACAAGACTAATAATAAAATAGTAAAAAACGATACATTTTGGTTGAAATTGTTACATTAATTTTTCAGTTCACTTGTGTCTTGGTAACTTATCTAACATACCTATTAGCATTGTGTTTGTTGCATTGCAAAAAAAATTCTTAAAATCCTTTTTTTGAAAAAATAAAATAAATAAAATAAAATACACATACAAACACATATATCCAGAAACATAATACCACATAAAAATCATGTCCTAGTTGTACATTAAGTGTTCTACATATTTGAAATATTATATCTCCACATTCACAAATATTCAATTAGAACATGGTTTTTATAAAACTAGGACATGAAATATATACATGCACATAAATACAACAATCTTTAAAAAAGGTGTCTATGTATATATATATATATATATATAGACTGAATCATTTGCAAAACTTCTTAAACAATATATATATATATATATATATATATTTAAGAATGTTAAATAAACCTAGGCTTTCACTAAATTGATCCACCCATCATGAAAAAAAAATGACCACTAGATTTATTTCTCCACTGCTAGATCCAAATCCAATGAAAACCAACCACATTTATTATGATTACTATATTCTTTACTATGGGTAGGTCAATTTAATAAAAACTTGGGTCTATTAAAAATCCTCCTATATATATAGAGAGTTGTTAAAGCCACACCATGTGATGATTAATTTTGGGGGATAGGAAACAAGGCATGGAGGTTGGGAACAAGAGATGAGGGACATGGATCAAGGAACAAAGTCAAGAATGGATAGAATCAATCATGAGATGTTTTTGTAGAGTGTGGCTTTAACAACATTAGGCTTGAACAACTCCATATATATATATATATATATATATATATAAGATTTTGATTTGATCCACTATTTAATTTAATTTGTGTAAGTAAGAGCAACATCCGTTTGAGGCCGTATGCTAGCTGGCTCGTCCAGGCGGGGACCATCGTCGGTAGCACAGTCGGCGAAGTCCCGAAGACTAATTCAGAAAAGACGAAACACTGAGTTGAGAGTGGACGTGAATCTATGTGCGACGCACTTCAAAGCTAGGTTAAACAGCATTGTCATCGACAAATTTCGCGGTCTTCCTGGCCCAACTTCTGGCACATCGTATCGTTATCTGCAAATTTCTAGATTGTTCATTATCTGTTGAAGGTGCCTGAGCCGCATAGCTCAGTTCACTAAGGAGGCAGTCAACAAAATGCATCCGGAGGTTAGCCTGCTGCAGATACGTGAAATGCACATATTCTGCTTTTCACATTGACTCGTGACTTGGCGACACTTCTGCAAGCAGCACTGATTACCACCATCTGCTGCACGAGTTAGCGGACGGGGTTGGTGTTATTTCCCCTCTCATCGTGGACACCTCTCTGCTTTACTTAATGTTAAACAGTAGCAAGCCTTCTGGATTATTTTACCAATCCAACAAAGTGTTTTTAATTTAACGTTTCTTTTGCTAACGATCCGGCTCTTGGCATATCCTTTCAGAACTTAGGCCATAGATCAAAGGAGCTTTTCATTTGGCTTATGTAGAGTTCTCAAATATAGTTGTTTAGAGTCTATTAGACCATGATATGGGACCACTAAATAGTTGAAACAAATAAGAGCCAATAGAGCAATGTATATCTAAGCATCCAAAGAAGTCAAAATTTGTATATCTAATCAATGAAATGTTTGTAATTTGTTGGTAGAAGATCTTTGGGTTAATGATATGCTTAAGGTATCAAAGAATTTATTGAATAGACTTCTAATGTTGTTCATGTAGTTTCCTCATATATCTACTCATAATTTCAATTGCATATGAAATATCAAGTCTAGTATGAGTGAAGAAGATTAATTTATCTATCATGTGATAATATAAAATGATATTTGTTGATCAAATATTTGTTTGTATTTTGAATACATGTCTTTTAAGGATTGGTGTAGATTTTTTTTTAGAATATTCTATTCTTATATAATTTTGGTATACAACATTGTTTGATGCAAAAACAACCTTCCATGAATTTTGACAAATTCTTGGTTTACATAGCATTAAACTTCTTCTAAATTCTTCATCTAATATTTGAATATTAGTCTTTCTTTTATGACTTATAATTTAATTCAATAATTTTTTTATTACCAGCATGTCATCAACATAAAACATCATGATGACAATTTTGTTGATTTTTCATTTGAAGAAGAGGCTGTAATCAATAAGGTTGCGAGACCAACCAAAGTCTTTGAGATGTTTGTCAATTTTTTCATACCAAATCCTAAGAGATTGTTTTAGGCCATAGATCAATCTTTATAGTTGATACACTTGTTCTTCTTTGCCATGAATTTCAAATCTTTAGAATTGTTGTATAAAAATAAGTTCTTTAAAAATTCCATTCAAGAATATTATAATGACATATATGTAAAATAACTCCCAACCTAAAAGTATTCTAATTGCAATGATTGTTTGTAGAGTGACTAATTTGATCACAAGAATAAAAATCTTGTCATAATTTAGTCCTTCCTCCTACTCAAATCCTTATACTATTAGCCTTGATTTCAAGTGTAATTTTGTGGAATTTATAACTAGCTTGGTTTTATAAATCTACTTAATTAATAGTACTTTTTTCTTTGGAGATAGGAAAGTAAGAATCTATATAAGATTTTTATTTAAAGAATCTATCTCTTCTTGCATTGAAGTTCTTTAATTAATGTTTGCAAAGATTTCATCAAACATTAAGTTTTCTTTAATAATTTTTATTTATTTATTTATTTTTAAAAAAATGTTAATTTTCTCTATAATATAGAAATGATAATCATTGAAACATATTCAAGCCCAATGTGTTTTAGATGATCTTTGAAATGGATCCAATCTAATTGATTGGTCTATTAGAACAACATTAAGAAGATTGTCTAAATTATTTACTTCTTACTCTTTATTAAGAAACTTTGGCTTACTACATGCTTTTGTAGCTAATTTTTTTGGCACACAAGCAAGTTCTTCTTCTTATTCCAATAGAATGAGCATGCTTGAGAAGAAAAAGTGAGCTATTCAAAAATATGAGTTATTAAGTTAGTAATAGAATAAAAGTGGTTGATAGAATCTTTAAAGAAGGCTATATTATGGCTAATAACAATCCAATGGAAAATTCGATTGTAATACCAATAACCTTTGGTTTGTTCATTGTAACTAATCAAAATGGTACAAAAAGCTCTTAACTACAACTTTGTTAGAAGTAAAGAAGATAGAAGAATATAGGTTGTACATCTAAGCACTTTAATATGAAATAGAGTAGGTTTGATTTTGAAAAGATGCTCAAAATGTGTGCTAAATTTAAAAAAGTGAATAGAGCATTAATTAAACATATAATTTACCACACTAATAGATTCTATGCATAGATAAAGAAAAAATAAGTATTTAAAAAAATATTGAGAATAGCTTGAAGTCAAATTTTATTTTTTCTTTCAAAAATTTTATTTTGGTAAAAAGATTGAGGAGAAATAAGTTGATAACATATGCTTTTGTTGGAAAAAAATATTTTGAATATAATAGAAGTAAATTTACTACCTTGATCAATTTGTATACAACCAAATTTTAGACTAGATTGATATTTTATAAGATAGATGAATTTTTGTATAATAAGAAAATTGGTATTTTTGGTAGTAAAGAAGAAAATCCAAGTATAACAAGAAAAATTATTAGTAAAAGGTACTTAGCTTCAATATGTGAAGTAATTGGCCTACAAAGATATGAAAGTAAGAATTCTAAGGATTGAGAAGCTTTGAAAATAGTCATCTTTGGAATATTCTCTCAATAGTATTTGAATTGAATACTAATCTCACAAAGATAATTAATAAAAATGACTTATAGAAGGCCAATAATAAGTTATTTTATATGCATGTAATATATCTATTAATAATAAATATGATAAAATTATTTATACCAAAGATCTAGAATATTGCTAGTGTAATATGAAATATTGAAAGAATAAGAATTGAATGATTGATTCTAGTAGATTCAACTACTAGGATTAATAAAATATCCATAAAGAAAACAATAAGTTAGAAAGAATTGAGCTTGTATAGACTATTAGAAGGATCTTGATAATATTAAAGATGAACATTATTTAAATTTATTTTTTATTTTTTATTTAATTATTTAATTATTTACAAATACAATATAGTTGATTGTTTAAGAGTACTTGATATCCTTTGTCTATGAATTATTCTACCAAAAGTTCCTTCTTTTAGTATGAAAATTCAGAATAGATTTGCTACATGATTTGCAAGAAATAATATCTAAAATAGAAGTACTATTTCTAGTGACATGAGTACTAGCTATTAAGTTAATGATTCCTTATAAATCTATTAACGTTCAATTTTTTTAATAATATGAAATAAAATAGTAAGATATGTGTTTGATACTTGTAACAATGTATAGATAAGATAATTGTATTGATAGTTAGAACCATGGAAGTTTCTAGAATTGGAGTTAGGTTAGTGGACCAAATAAGATCCACCATAGAATATTCTAGAAAAAATTTAGGATAGTTATTTAGATAGAGTCTACCATAGAATCTTCTAAAAAAAGAATTTAAGATAATTATTTAGGTAGGATCTACCACCTAGGAATATTCTAAAAAGTCTAAGGTAGTAGGACAAAGTATAAATAGAACTACCCAGGGTCTTTTAGAACATTTGATCAAGTAAGGCTTTGGATCCTTTCTCTTAGTAAAATTTGGTT